TCAGGTTATCCCTACAATAACCTTGTATCAAAAGTGGTGGTTGATTCAATCTATGTATTAATTGAGTTGCTATAGCCTTGCAGTATAATTTTTGAACGTCCCCGCAGCTGTTAAGGCGAGAGGATTATCAGCTATTGTTGTAATATTAAATTACCAAGACGCGCGGTACTTTTTGGGATACCTGTACAACCCAAAGATGCAGCTTGACAAAGAAAATCTCTCGCTAGGCTACATCTTTTCTACCAATCCTAAATATTCGGAATTTGTAATGATCTAGTTCTGAATGAAACTGAGTTACAAGAATTACGACAGATTTCCCGCCAGTCTCAGAAAACACAAATCTTCACAAGACACGAGCGCAGCAGCTCTTCACAATCCAAAAAATAATCCAAATCTGAATGGAGCCTGCAAATCGCCTTCATATTTTCGAACATGAATGCAATTGTAGGCTACTGCATAACGAAGGCACACAAGCAGTATTGGTTGAGCGGTCGCGAAACGCACGCGTGTCCTCAGCCTTGTGAGTCCTGCGCCTTGTGCGCTCTGCGGCTAAAAAAGCCGCTTTTGTGTCTAAAGATTTTGCGCCTTCGTCATGCAGCACCGTATACATACCTACAGTGACAACGCTCAAGGATTATCGAATTATTTTTCAAAAAATATGACTACTATGTCGTAATATAATGCCTATCAACACTATGTGAGGCGTGGCATTGCGTAGCCGCAAACGTATGCGCATCGCGCTGTCTTTCCAAAACCTCAGTATCCGACTATACATCGGTGATTTCTTGAAATGCATCCGAAAACGTTCGTCACGCTAATTGCAAGCTGTGTGTCGTGCACTACATAGTAAGCCTGTTTTTACGCGGCCCGACATTCCTAGTATTCACAGCTTTTTTTGCGTTCGAGCGCGTTTTTTGGCGTCCGCTCAAGCGTGAGTGTGATCCGAATCTCATCAACAAACTGGAACAAGTGCAAGACATAGCCTGTCGCTTCTAGGTACGAATGCTTCGTAGCATGTTTGGGTACATTCCTCGCTTTAATCGTCTTTATAGGGCTAAGGGCAAGCTTATAATGTTGCCCCAGAGGTTTATGTAGAATTTATGGACTGTTGAACAGACATGGACAGCAGTAATATCTGTACTTGCACATTTCCTACAAACATTTGCTCTTTACATTAAAATGCGGTAATTTTAAGAAAATACATTAAAATACATTAATTTTGAGAGAATTATTTAAGAACGATTTTCTGCGCAGAATTCTGTGCAGTTTTGTTCCTGTATTGCTCCTTGATTACCGTCGTACCGGTAAAATTTATTGTATCGCACTGTCACAACTTTTTGTGCTTGTCTATGCTGCTTCATAACAACAGGAATGACTGTAAAATATTTCTCTCCCCCTCCCCTATTCTGCAAAAGATACGCGCAAATCTATGCCATATGCTCAAAAACAAAATTTATTTTTTGTAAGGACAGAGATTCCTACTTCAAGTTGATTCTTAGGATATACAGTGCTGCTATAGTTCGGGTGCGGTAGTTATACTGTATCGGATCGATTTGTTTTGTTTCTTCTGTACTTCCCATGTGGTAAAGGCTATTCATGTGCTACTGCAGTAATTCAGCTGACTTGTTGAGGTGTAGTTTAACCCCTACCGCAAACTAAGTTACCGTACTCTAACGGATCATTGTAGTTCAATATGAGTAAAGCTGGATATACAATTCTTCTTGATGCACATTTTGGTGCAAGAAAAAAAGATTATGATAGAAAGTTTGGCATCATTTAGCTGCACTTATGATTTTATTTGGAGTATTTCTGCATAGCTCTTGCTCTATTAGATTTGTTTTTTTTATCATAGCAGGTTGTCCCATGAATTTTTTTTTATTTTTCGAGAACTAAGGCACCTACAAAGGTGCGAAGTTACGGTTGTATTTTTGAATGAGTAACTATATACGTATTAATTATATAACTACCAGAGGCGATGCGGTGGCTGACGACAAAAAATTTTTTCGGATGCTTTTCGATGCCCCTAACTCCGAGCAAATTTTTGCACAAGGCCAATTTGAAATTCTAAAAAAAATCTTGAAACCTATCTTAATTATTTGCAAGTATAAACAAGTCATTTGCACATTCTATGATGCATGTATGTAAGTAACTTTCAAAATTTTCGAACCCTTTCTCAGAGGGGGGGGGGTCTGCTCAGTCCCCCATTGATAATTTTACATGTGTGCCGTTTTTTCGAATTCCTCGAAAATTGAATTTTTATGGCCTAAAACTATATGTGGAGAACATTACATGTAAATATTCAAATCATTTCGTGAGCTTGCACCGCTCTATCGAGGGGTGTTTGATAGCTTCTCAGAAGATGGGAAAGTATCACTTAGAGTGAAAAAATCAAAATTGAAAAAATTATGAGGTAAAGTTCGAATTGAGTATTCTTCCCATCCCCCTTCCTTCAACCCCACTTTCCCGCTCGCCTCTTCAGCATTACTCACCATCACGCCTTTCCGAGCCATTCATCCTTTATGTCAAGCATAACCTTGTCATCGTCCCTGTACTTGTAAGAAGAGACATCCGACGATTGTTTGTTCAAACAAACATGACTCATTGCACCGACAAGCGTAGCATTTGCGTTTTTACTGTTTCTTTGCCATCGATCGTTAGGGCTGTCAGAAATGATTGTACAGCCTTTTTTTCGATTTCGTATTTCAATCATAAGCAATGTCAGCGTGCCCACGTTCATGGAGCTGTCCCCGTTCCTTTGTGATTCATCATGGCGGGAATGGTGATTGTTTGTCGCTTTTGGTTCACATCGTTCCTTATTTTATTAATCTTTTTTCAAGCTGCGCTCGCTTATACAGACTCTTCTTCTACTTAATTACGATGAAAAAACAATTTTCTACGCATTCTCCACGAGTAAGCAAATGCATGAAAAAATAGTTCAAGTGCACTTCTGCATATTTTACGCTCAAGATGCTGCAGCTTTCTACTTCATTAGATGTGCTAGACACAATTAATTCTATTCTTTACGATTACTTCTTTGCAGTTTTTATTCCGCAAACTGAGGATGGCCGTAAAGTAATGAAGATTTTTTCTACTCACTATCCTAAGGCGACAAAAATTATAGCTCCAAAGAGCTTCGAGTAAGTTCTACTCGATGAAAATGATACTTCTGCGCAGCATCTATGGTTGCTACTGACCTCTATTGACATAATAAACTGTATATTGTAGAGGTCTTCAGATGCGAAATCGTCATGCTATAGTGCCGTTTTCTCCTATTCACCACTGTATTCTTCAACTTGAGATTGAAGTAAATTGCAGTTTATAGGGTTCCAAGACCTAAAGAGCATTGAAAAAAGTTGCAAAGAATTCTTCGAAGGTTCACCTTTTTCAAACTTTCGAATTTTATCGAAACTGATATAATCTAGATAAACAGAACAATTTCTATATGAGCTTTCTTTTTACGTGATTTACTTTTGGAGGTCAGCGGTTCATCTTTCCGACCGACAATAAGAATGTTTTAGCTTAGTCCAAAAAGGCTGGGATTTAGCAGTTAAAAGCACAAGGATACTTTCTCGTAAAGCATACAAAAATCAGTCATGACTACAACGATGTGAGGTCCATCTTTCTCATACAAGCCACCGCCAAAGCAAAGGCATTCATATGCCTTTGCAACTTCCAGGATTTGTTCCCAGTCAAAATGTTTTTAGTTTCGACATTTTGGTGACATGAAAGTTCATTTTTGCGCAAATTTAGTTAGAAGTAGGAAGTGTATGAAATTATGCTGTCACTTCATGTTATATCGTTGTTCCATGATGTTCCGTTTCATCTTACTAGTCCTTTACGCTTTTTATTAGGTTGGTGCAAAAGTTCTTGCGCACGATTTTCAAAAATTCATAACTTCCGATTTTTTCAACCAATTTGGCCGCTTTTATTTTTGTATGAAAGAGTAAGTCATGCTCTCTATAACGATTTCTTAGCTGCTTACTATTGGTCATCGCATAGATAGAGGCGGTAGAAGAAAATTACTCAATTTGAACTTTTTTGTGTAGGGTCATGAAAAATCGAAAACATGCAACAAAAATCGGAGCAGTCAGTATTGTAGGTTCTTTCACCAGCTCTTTCTAACAGTTCAAAGTTTGCGCCGCTTGAGCGTCTCTATGAAAAGTTACAATTTCTCTGAAAAATGCCACAATAAACCAAAATCATCGTTTTGTATTGCTTGCTCGAAAATCGTAACTTTTCATAGAGACGTTCAATCGGTGCAAACTCAGTGGGAAAGAGCTGGTGAAAGAACCTACAATACCGACTGTTCCGATTTTTGTTGCAAGTTTCCGATTTTTTATAACCCTACACGAAAAAATCGAATTTTGACCATTTTTCTTCGATCGCTCCTATCTATGCAACAGATGATCATCAGTAAGCAACTAAGACGTCATTATATTGAGCATGACTTACCCTTCCATACAAAAATGAAAACTGTCAAATCGGTTGGAAAATTCAGAAGTTATGGATTTTTGAATTGGGTGCGAAAGAACTTTCGGTTCAACCTAATATTTCTGTTTAAGGGAAAGTTCATGGCCTCTAACATTTAACGTTTCATTGAATGTATAAAATTCCTTCCAATGTTCTAACTTCCATTTCTAAATTTCAAGACCCGCATCAGTAGGAACATCCATCGCGAGCACTTTCGTATTCTGTAGATTTGAGGAATGGATATGCTATCGAAAAGCATAGGAATGTTTTAGAACATTTTGGCGTCTTTTCGTGTTTTTGTTAGTAATGAAAAAAAGTAATGACTTTGAAAGAATAGGATTACTTTGAAAAGACGCAAATGCACCTCGCTAAGTCGAATTTTGAGTAGGACTGTAAATGACCATTTGATTCTGAGTTATATCTTTATTTGAAATAGATTCATCGCATTAGTTTTTCTCCAAAACCTCTCCTCCATCTCGTTCGTTTCTTCTTTCTCTGAAATGTAATGTGATGGGCTACTTCGTACTTTCAGATGTGGTCAGCATGGCTGATAGTCATCTACACAATCACCTGTTTACTAGTCATAGGAATACTAGCAGTAGGTGTCTGGTTTGTCAGAGTTGACATGCAACGATCGAGGATGATATCAGGTAACCTGCATCACAATTCAAAGTCCCTCCTTCGGCAAAAAATCATTTTAGAAAAGTACGTGGACACGAGTAAAGCTACGGATGTCTAGTACTTGCCCCTCCACCTCACCTCAGCTACTTCCATTGTGATACTCGAACTGTGCCTGGTATACATTCGCCTGTACATAAAGATTTTCTATGTCTAAGTTCTTGTTTGTTTCAAGATATCAACTTACTGTAGTGTCATTTTCCACTCCCAAAATACATATCTACATAATAACACTGCGGATTGTTTCTTGCAAATGGACTGAAAAAGGTACGAGTGATTTTATGGGTGTGAACTTAACCAAGAAGAGAACATTCCTTTACAAATTTAGGATGAGGTTTGTTGAACTTTACAAATGAGAGAGTCATAATGAGAAATTTCAGCCTACTCTTCAATTTTTTTATTTCAAAGCATAACTCTGAAGAAGTTCGGGTTGGAACTCACTGTCACGGGGATTATGATAAAATTAGATTTGGCCCTGAGTACTGAAATAAAGATGTTTATGCACATCAAATAATCAGATAAGTATGTTTAGATTAACTGTTTTGAACATTTGTGTTGGTTACCCCAAGGATTCCTCAACTTTGGAAATCCAGCACTTTCTAACTTTTGCAGTTAGCATTGAACAGAGTGGAAGTTCCTCTTAATTATAATATTATAACGAAAAGCTAGTGCACAACTTCTTAGGACCTACTGGATTTGTTGTTGACTATACTCGTACTTCAACAATTCTTATTTTTCATAATATCGAGTGCAGCTGCATATGGTCAAAGCACACAAATTAAGTCAAGCAGGGTTGGAAATCAAGTCAAACACTTTTTGATACTTTAGATCAAAGGACAATAAAACTTTTGAACTTTTCCAAAGTCTCGGAGTTCATGCTTCCTGACAATGCTATAGAGGTCTCATAGAATTCCTTAACGAGGGTCAGCCGGCCCATCATTACAGGGGACTGTGTTTAACTCTTACTCTCGACACATTCGTTTTTCTACCGAAATGCTTAAAGCTTCATAACACACGCTCAAAACACCCAACATCTCTCCAACTCTTGCTAGTGTTCGGTCTTTCCCAATCTAACTGTCACAAAAATTGCGAAGATAAAAGACAGATGAGAATACCACCGCTGTCAAATTTCCGTAGCTGTATACCGAATAAGCACAAAGGGCAGGGCATACATTCGCGATTTTATTGCCTAATGTATGCTGGCCCGAATCTCGCGACAGGACAACTGTTACGAGTATTGCATGCCGATCAGCGTCTTAAAGGAAAGCTATTAGCTATAGTAGCTATAGTAATCTCATTTATTAGCCAGAAATTACCCATGATGTTAACAGAAAGTTTGAGTACAGTGTTCAAACTTGCTGAATGTTTGCGGGTCTACATGTATTGTGAAAAATTTGAAAATTTGAAATAAACACAAAACCAAAAAAATTAAAAAACAAAAAGAAATAGTTTATAAGGTTAAAAAAACTCCATACTCAGCCGTAATGTTATTTACATGGTAGTAAGTAAAAACAGCAGGAGAGAGGATTCTTTGCTCACTTGCAAAAACTCGGGTCTGAGAGAGGGTTTCGTTAGGGTAAACACGTAATTATGTTGATAAGTGCGCGCCTTCTTTTTGATCCCTTCGTAAGCAACATGTTCGAATGCTGTACAAATATTTAGATTTATGCTAACAAGGGAGGGCCGATTAATTGAAGTGGCCTTTCCAAATGAGTCTTATACCACTTTGAAGAGTATCAAACGCTGATTTCAAATCTGATTTTAGCATCTGCCGAGCGCCTCTGCATGCCGAGTTATGAATATTTTCTTGATGCGAAAATTAAACGCGTAATTAAGGTAAGATCAAATTTTACGGTCTTTTCAGCGCTCAGATAGAGCAGTGTTGTGTACCAATGCTTTGGACAGAAGGTATTGTTTGAATGGTGTGCCCATGATAATCGACATTGGACCGTATGAGCAATTCTGACGAATTTTGAATAATTCATTGAATTTTCCAACTCAAAAAACGCTCATAACTCGACGTCCAGAGGCACTGGGCAGATAACGAAGACAGATTTGGAGTCACCGTTCGATGCTCTTCATAGTCGTATCAATTTCATGTAAGAAGACCACCTCGACCAAGCGGACCTTCATTGTAAGAATTCAGTGAACAACTTATACCAAGCAATCTATACAGTTTTTTTTTGCATTTCTTGCTTACAGTCTGGATCTCTTTAATTATGAATGAAGAAAACTGTTCCGACAAACTTCTTTCTTATAATGGATGATCATCGACTATGAGCGTTTTACATGGGTTTCATCAATCTCGGCTACATTTATGGTGCATTTCGGTGCGGTATAACTGACATGCTTAAACATTCACACTTTCTGCTACACTACATGTTAATGTTCCCCAAACTGAGGGTTGGTTTACGCTAATAAGGAGGTGAAGAAGAACTGAATGTGCAAAACTTGCGCGTGACAGCGATTGTGGGAAGTTATGGCACCTTGAAACCGAAATCCCAAAGCTGGTTGGATTGTCCTAATAGAAGGCATAATTTGCACAAATCTTTGAAAAATAATGGACGTAAGCATCATATGAGACTTCACTTTAATGATTTATTGTGTACCAAAGTTGCGGGGTCTTCTCACTTGGTAACGCTGATTGAGCAAATTTTGTCGATCGCATCCAGGAGACAAACAACAATGACATTCCGTGCTTCCGTATCGATGTTCCATGCACATCCAAACCTCCTTGAGTTAGTAGCAGCCTATAAAAAGTATTTGTCTAGGCTATCGACTCGTGAGCAACCTCAGAACGATTTCTCCATTGAGCGAAACCTCCGGAGCGAAAACTTTATGAGCTAAGATTCGTGCTTAGTAATAATGCATTTTATTTGTTAGTCGATTTGAGCAATCAGACTGAATATTAGAGAATCAAATCTTACCACATTGAGTCCGACTTCCCTGTTTGCTTGGTGTTGCCAGAAATGCTCAGCGACTGCACTCGCATTCGTTTTCCCTTTACTGCAACTTTCATACTTGTATCGTATGAATTTGGAGAAACACAATACATACTGAGGGTAAGTGTAGAGTACATATTGATATTTTTTGCCAGACACCTTGCGTTTCTTTTTCGAAATTCGTTCAGCTTTTCCCGCAAATTGGCAGAGGAAAGACTAAAAATGAATATATACAAATGGTTTTTTTTTCATATACAAATGGTAAATAGCACTTTCCATTCTTGACCATCTCAATAAATATTTCTATTCTGCTACATACATCGTAACTTTTACTTGAACGAAGATGTTTTACGAGTTCCGCGCTTTTCAGCATAACTTATGGCAAGCTAACTAACCACGTAACTGTTCTGCTAGAATTAGTAAGACTTTCTGGTTTAGGGTCAAGTTCGAAAAGTCTTTGGGATACGAAAAGCTCAGTCTGCTAAGGCTTTGAAAACAAACTTAGCGGCTGTGTGGCCACTTTAGTAGCCGTAGTGTTTAGAGATTGAATGGCTCTAGTATGGAACATAGTGTTAAAGGTGAAAGAAAGCCAGTGAGATTGTTTTTTTGAATGATGACTTTTTTAAATTTGTTCAAAAAGCCGGTGAAATTGTTTTTTTTCGTATGATTACATGTTTTTGAAATGGCTGGAAAGATAGCGAACCAACCAGGTTGTAATAATAGTGCATTGGAGGAACGAGACGATTGTTGAAATTTCTGTTAGATGTTCGTATTCCCATACAGTGATTAGGATCCTTTTTGTAAGTGGCGGAAGGTTCCGAAAGAAATACTAACTGAATAAAATCAATTTATTCTCGACAGAAACATTTTTCATGGAATTGAAAGACTGTAGCAACTCACAGTCAAAAGAAAGCGAGGAAAAACCATGGCTGACTAAGCTTTACCCAGCACCTTTGCACATGAGCTCTACCTTTGATTGTTTTACGAACGATAATTTCTAATGAGATGCATTAACGCAACTCAATAGTTGCAAATTGAAGTTCTTCAAAATGATGGCCACCAAGCACTTTGTGTGTCAGTAATGAGCATTGTTGTTTGCAATAACGAAAGATTCCCCGCTGTGAATGTATTCTAAAATTTTGTTCTCCTCTTGCCTCCGTGCTGTAGTTCAAGCATTGATCTGAACTTGCAATACTTGTTGCTCATTGTCAAAGTCTACTCAATTACAAATGCTTTTTCAAAAACAGCAACTAAATAGCTACCTACTTCATTTGAAATACAAAAAAAGACGGTTCTTGAAATAGGCCATGTTGATGTTGGTGTACTGAATGCAGTCACTAAACATGTCCCAGTCTCATTTTTTCGGACTCTCCATGATCAACCGAGTACCCTTTGATTAAAATGGATTGGCGGCAGAAGGCGGGGCTTCGTGACCTAGTCAAGGCTAAAGAATGATCAGAGAGCGCGCGCGAGAGAGACGCAGACTGCTTCAAGGTGCAAGCGGCCCCAATTAAGACACAAAGCCCCGCCTATCGGCTACCAATCCAGTTAAAAAAAGGTTATGTCTTGAAGCTCGGTTCCTTCGCAATCTCATTGACATGTAAGGAAACTTTCGATTATGCACGAAACGCTTTTGATCGTACTTGGAAGCCTCGATCATGCTTCTGACTGTAAAGGAGGAAAAACGAACTGCTTCTTGGAAGTCGTAGTACCAATGGGACTGGAAGGAAGGAAGAAGTGGCTCCTAGAGATTACTCATGCCTTTGTTAGAAGAATTAATGGTACCACTCATGCCTTGTTAGACAATTGATGGCGGACGACAGAAAGGAAATCTGGAGAAGAGGAGTAAAAGAACTTGCAGCGCCCGGTCTGTAAAGCACTATATAAGCATCACAGAATTCGTTGTAAAGTAGTAGTATTGTATAAGTTTTGCTTTTAATTGCCATTTTATATTCCCTCATCTTTCCTCTCAGGGCCTCCTCTCCGGAGGCCCGCTAGTTAACCTAGTAACCTCTTTGTTCCTATGGATGATACTTTCCTTTTCACCCGATATGTCATCCGCCCAATTTCATTATCTTGATTGATCCTGTCAATGATGCAAGGCCTTAGCGCGGGGATGATTTATGGGTGTGTGTGTGTGTATGTGTAATCTGAGTCGGGAATAAATGGTTGTTGGGAGGTGGTGTAGTTTCAGCTATGTTG